GGGTAGGGGAGTAGGGGGAAAGTGGTCACAATGATCTGACGTATGGCCCCCAACCCAGGGGAACGAACAGCAGAAAATGGGTGAAATGAGACCAGTTGGTATAAGACATGGGGAAAAAATTTTTTTTATAGATTATGTAGGGGGCACGGGGGAGGGAGAAGGAAAAATGAGCTGATGCCGGGGCTTAAGTAGAAAGAAAATGTTTTGAAAAAGATGCCAACATATGCACAGATGTGTTTGACCAAATGGATATATGTATGGATTGTAATAAGAGCTGTAAGAACCCCCAATCAAATGATTTAATAAAAATGTTTTTGTCATAGTCAATGCTACTTTTAATGTGTATTGTAATATACAGCTTCATACAATGATCCTTGATAGATACTGTGTTCGTAAACCTCGATAAAAAAAAATGCCAGTCAAACGCTTTCTTTCTGAGAATAGTGGATCACTATACCACATAGTATCTTCTAGGTCCAAGTCTACTATTCAGATGTGTACTTTCCACTTTCAGGAAACACACTTTGTTATGTCCCATCTAAAAGTCCTATTATATAATACCATCTTGTGCCTTAATAAATGTAATAAATAATACCTGTGTAATTTAAAAATATAATTGGCATGAACTTCATGGTATCTACTGAGTGAAGTATTTCCTGAACAAGACAAAACTTAGTATGAATTGGTTTAGAGAGGTAGTTGAGGCTCTATTCAATAAAAATCTACAGGGCAGCTATTATGCACCAGAAGCTTTGAAAGGCAATTGGGATGTGAAGATTAAAATTACATGATTTCTGCTGGCCAAGATCCTACTGCCTAATACAGAAATAAAATATTAAAAAAGGCCATGTCTATTTAGCTTGGTAAGTTAAAATATTAAGGGAATGCTGAATAGGAGCACTATGCCCAGTCTACTTTTAAAAAAAAACACATAAAACCAAACTCATGGCCAACGACTCACAGTAAAAACACAAGTCGAAATATTTTTAAATATAAGACAAAAAAAATACAGAAGTGGGAAGATGATAGGGTCATCTGTATATGATATGCTATAGAACTTGAGATTTTATTCCATATGTAATAGGAAGTCACTGACTGGAGACAGGAAATGAGTATATTTCTCTAGTTGACAAATAAAAGAGATAACAGCTCTAGTAAGAAATGTAGAGGTCTTAAACCAAAGCTCACTGCCAACCCACAGTGACCCAGCTGGACAAGGCAGAACTGTCTGTGAGCTTCCCAGAGGCTGCAACTCCAAGGAGAGGAGAAAGCCGTGTTTCTCCAGAAGGGCAGCTGGTGCTTCCAAAACTGTTGCCTGTACCCACACTGTCACCAGGGCTCAGAGCTAGTGATGTGATAAAAGATGCAGAATAGACCATCACAGGAATGTGTGGCTGCTTCCAGATGGACGTGAGAAAGAGGGAGGTCGGAGCCATTCTTTTGATTCCAGCTTTCTCAGCTGGATAAGAATATGGAATGTAAATACAGAACACAGGAAGAACAGCAGCTCTTTGCTTACAGAAGGAAAAGTGTGTTGTGGTAGTGGCACCGCCCACCTTCTTGGGTCCTTCCGATTACAACTCTAACATTTTTCATATATCATGGCTCTTAAAAATAAAGATAGCATCAGTCCCCACATACTTAGCTTGCTGTAAACTAATTAAATCATTAGACCCCACGAGGAATGGAGATTAGTTTATTGGGCTATCAAAGTTATCTCAATTATAATCCACATCCAATAGATTCACAATAAATGTATTAATTATGGCGGGCGGAGGGGGGGGGGGGGGGGGGCAGCGGGGGCGATTCTAGGTTTCTTATCTTTTAGTACTTCAAAATAGAATACCACAGTTAGGTAATTCCATTCCAAAAGATTGCTACTTAATGTTATCTTTGAAAAATGTGATTTGTGCTAAAATGCTGAACTTACCAGATTACATTACAATGCATTTTTTAATTTTCACACAGCCAGGAGTCTTTTCTTCTTTGCTGATTTTTTTCAATCTGTATTGTCGGATCTCTCTCACCAATGTATAAAAAGCATCCTCCACTCTCTGCATTGTAAAACACAACTTCTTTAAAGTTTGTTTCATTGGTAAGGGTAATTTATTGGGGATAACCATGTACAAGAATCTGAAATTATGAGCTTTACCTTAGTTTTTCTTTTTAAATAGAAATGGGATTTTTTTAATAAAAGCCAAGGATGTTTTTTTTTAAATTTACTAAAATTCTGATATTTTTCTTAAAACAAAGTAGTTTTCTTCTTTTAATGGAATTAGAACATGATTTTTAAGAATTAAGACTAAGTGGGAGATAATGGAAATCCTTAATACATCTATATTGTTGCCAGTTGATGCAATCATTTTGGTTTGCTTGTCATGGACTTAATCAAAGCTTAAACTGAAGTTTGTATTTCTTTGACATACTAAAAAATAAGTGACTAATGTACCACTCTGAGTCTGCACTCTTAACTTGTGTGGGCAAAGGGAGGGTACAGTACAAATGGGATACATCATCTCTGATCAAAAAATTTTAAATGCAACTCAAAATAAAGCCAGGACAAGAGACTAGAATCTTGAGTTCTTCCTTCAGTTACAACACTGAATCAACTATATATCAAAAGCGTAGTGGTAGTTTTAAATTTAACTAGGTACAAAGAATTGTCCCCTTAAATCTTAACTGAAATTAAACAATGGCTTAGATTTTGCATGTAGAAGTCATTCCTCTAATACTTTGAACAATTAAAAAAAGCACACATCAATATTTTAGGATATATTAAGTTTTATAAAGCTCAAGAGTACATTAAGAACTGCTTCGGTAGAGATGAGTAATTTACATTTAAAATAAACCCTTCATTAATTATTGATAATTCACTTTCAATTAAGAAGCAGTTATTTAAATAATTTTTAGGGCTATTGCTCCAGTTACTAACATATACCATCCGGTGACATTTCTATTCAATTTAATTAAAAAAATCATTATAGCCTAGGAAAATCTGCATCTTATTTTTTATGGGGTCAATTTAACCAAGTAGATCTGTGTTTCACAAAACAAGTGATTCCACCCTTAGAAGGGGGGATGGTCCTGAAATAATCCAGGTGGCGGCAAAAATCATAAAGACACTTGACCCTGGATTGTGACTATAGCACAGAACTTTCAAATTGTGGGGGAGGGAGAGGGAGGGGTGGAAGGAGGTGTCTGAGTAATTTTTTTCTGCCAAATACCTAGGAACTAGTTAGCTAAACAAACTACAAGTAAAAATGTCTACCAATTTTAAAAAATCATTTATATTAGTACTCAAATTAGATCCCTACTTGTACCTGCATAGTTCTGTTTTATGTTTTCAGTTAGCTTATATTTAGCATTGATTCTCAATAGTAAAGGGATTATTTTTATTCATGTCCTTGAAAAAGTTACAATTAGAATTTTTTATTATTAAGTAGAATAAATAATTTAAATCATTAAAATTACCCTTCTGAATAAATGGCCTGGCATTTAAAGTTATCTCCACAAATGATTCTTTTCATATAAAAAGCAACCCAAGTTACTGAAAACATATATATGTTTAAAACATATATATGCAAACAAATGTAAATATATGTATGGACAAACCAGGTAAAAGCTCATATTTTCTAAAAATTCTTAAGAATATAAGCTTATTCCTAATTTTTTGTTTTCTTCAAGTTTCATAGTTAATGTAGAAGTACCAAAACATTGGCTATGAGGAGGAAATAGGGCATTGGCCCTTGACTTATAGAAATAAATTTTGATTACAACTTATTTCTAAAATCATTTGAATGTATTTACTTTTCAATTTTGAACATCCCCATCACCAATACCAGAATGATTTCTGTTTCCAGCAATGCAGAGAGAATTGGAAGTCAATAATTTAAGAGAAGAGATCTCTACCCACCACCAAGAATTCAGTTATTCATGCTTCATTTAAGGCTAAGATAATTGACACTGAGAAGTTGTTATCCCAGAAGGATGTTTTCCATTTTTACTTTCACTAGTGTGAAATTTAGTTTAGATTTTAAAGAGCCATATTTTTTCAGACTTAAATTAGTTATGATTTCTTGATAATATGCTTGTCTTTGTATGTACTCTGGGACTGACTTTTAGTAATAACTGCATATAATACACGTGTGAAATAGAACATTGATTACATATTCCAAAATAAGGTTACACTATTCTCAACAGCAAAAAATTAAAGAAATTACTATAAAAACAAAGAAAGTGTAGGTAATTTATATATATATATATATATATATA